TAGATACGAAATATTTGGAGAAATCGACACAAGTTCTTAAGATCAAGGATCACAAAAAAGGATTGTTGTGATTTTCCTGAATTTCTATCTATGGATTGTCATAAGACTCATTTGTAGCATATGTGACATAAAGGCAGTTCCTTATGTGGCAATAGGAAGCCAATATGTGCAATGTAGTAAATGAGACATGATATCTATTTTTGCCAGGGGCATAGTTGGTAGATATCGATGTAATCCTAGAATGTTGTAATTGGTTCATGGTAGAACATATGATCAAACTACCATAGTTGGGCTAAGGATTATATGTAGAGCTATCAAAGGAACCATATGAAACCCATTGATTACAATAGATTACGATTTCTAATCAGACGTGAACGATAGAGTGAAATCTACCTCGGGATTTGTGTTAACTTGTGAGGTGGAACCAAATGCTTGGATCTAGAAACCTCTATTGAACTAGATATGTGAAGATCCTTGTTGCCCAAGTCAGATCACAATTTTATTGTGATGGCAGTTGGTGCAGTTGCAAACAAAAAGGATACACAAGTTCATAAGGCAAGTGAATGCATAGAGCAAGTAGGACCCGTTGCGATGAATCGCAAAAGGGTAAGAGTTTTTTTGCCTAGTTACGTCAGGAGACGACCAGGAAGATCCATTTAGAAATGGCATTTTGGCGAAAGCCGTTGATGGCCATGATAAGGAATTGGGGAGTCGGATGTATGGCAGTTAGGACAATAGTTCTTTGAGAATAGGGATTGAAAGAAGTATACTAGTAAAGCGGAAACTTTAAGTATAAGTGAAAGATTGTTGGTATATATACTGAAAGCTTGGCTTTAGATGTATTTATATCGAACCCGTTTGAATGAGAATCATGCTTAATTAAACAAGTCTACGTTCTGTTGTTTTGCATTATATAGGGTGGGTCGTCATTGGACGAACCGAAGATCACTCTATCAGTTACTCGCGAAACAAGAATTATGGTTCACAACCTAGATGGACATGAACACCCCATCCGAACGGTTGTACTGTCAACGGCACAGTTTGTTTTGACTGATTAGTTGCACTAGTACACTTCATGTATTGAACGAATCCTAGAGAGGAGAAGTTCATTTTATACTGATCATTGTAAACGAACTAGACCTCGGTTAATTATTGCGTTCTCTTAACCCGTAAGATATTAAATAGACATATATATGCAATATATATTTATTTGATTCACATGGGTGAGGTTTAGTAAACTGGATCAATAGACCCTCTGTCTTGGGTAATATTGTTGCATGTATGATGTGCTATTAGGACATTTACGGTCCCCGTGTGCGTTAGTTTGATGATGTCCCCGAGATGAGCTCATGAAAGATTATTATGTTAAATCTGGCCAATGGAATTTATTCTGACATAATAATAATGTGATGAGTGGTACTAGTCTCGGTTATAGATGTCGATTAATTTAATTGTCAGTAATTAAACTAATTGATTGACATTATATCTTAAACGCGGAGAGATAAATCGAGTAATTATTATTGGAGCTCGAATATAATTCGGGGATTAGATTGGGAGTTCATTCAATAATACTACTTCAGTTGAGTGTATGTAATTTTCCTATTTGGGTTTGGTAGACTTGGTCTACAGTCTAATTCAAATAGGAGAAGCCCAATCTAATGTCTCCTTAGGATCCCTGTTGAGCCTATTAAAATATCACATCTCTTGGAATTAGGAGATAGATGATACACGCACGCTAGGGAGAGAAAAAAGCCACCCCTTTCTTCTCTTCTCTCTTGTGTTCTCTTCTTCTTCTTCTCCAAGTAATCCCAATAGAGGTAGATCCGATTTCATCGCCCACTAAGATGATCAGATTAGATGTCAGGTCATACAACAGAAGATCTGATGTTGTCAAGCGATCTATATATATTTATCCAAACCCGTAATATATATATATTCAACCTCGTAATTTATCTATGATTCGCGGGGTTGTCCGTTCATCACGAAAAGGCAGATCTATGCATATCAGATATATTGGGAGTGACCGGCGAACTCCGACATCCCACGATGACCGGTCAGATTTCGGCGACCCGCTGCTAGTTCCGGCGGCCCACGCGCCCTCACGCGCCGTCGCTGTCCGCCAGAGAAGATTCACGCGCAGCCCAGCTTGCACCAGTAGAAGAATCCTGCGCGCACGGCCCAAAGGCGCAGCCCAGACATCCTCCTTCCGTGGTCCAGACGCGAGCACAGTCCAGATGGCGAGAAGGCCCGTTACCAGCCCAGCGTGGAAGGCCCAATGGCTGCTAAGCCCATCTGGGAGCAGATTCAGCGTGTGGGCCGCGCGGCCCGCGTCCAGCCTGCGCGCGTCCCGTGCATCTCTCAGCCCTCCAACCCGCGCGGAATCCAGCCCATCCCTTTGCTATTGGGCCAAGCGTGCGACCCAATTCCTAGCTCCATTCGCGGCCTAGCTCGTGGAAAGCCTCCCTGAACGGCCCAACATACATCAGACCCGACCCAGCTGCTCATAACCGGTCCAGGTCTGTTCAGTTCGGTCCAGGAGCAGTCCAGCAGGTTCGGGGCAATCCTGTGATTCTGCGACAAGTCCGGGACTGTCCGAGTTGGTTGGTGAACGATCCGGTGATTAGCATGACATGTCCGGCTGCCCAACAAACTCCAGGTTTCAGACGATCTCCAACAACAGAAATCAGAAACGTCTCGGAGTCGGCAAAAATTAAAAACGGTACGCTTTGAACTCTCGCTTCTAGTTCCGCTGCGCTTAGAGTTTAATTCGTAGATAGTTCCTGACATGCACATTATCGAGATCCTCACAGATGTCGCTGCAACTGGTCCGCGACTGGCTGGTGACCACACTTGTGGTCGAATTTCCCGCACACAAAGACGGGACCGAAGAGATATGGCTGGACTCACTTTCTCCAGTGACAGTTCCAACTCCGGGATAGTTTGGGAGGCGACAACTCCGGCGACGGTTGATGGCAAAACCGTCTGAGAACTTCATTCTTTAACCTCAAAATCCTTCATTTTTCCTTTTTCAAATCCAAAGTAAAAAATGGACTGCAAGCGGCCACGAAACTTAGGCACCGGTCACAGTCTGAACGACCAAGGCTAAAAGAGCCGACCCTTTACTGTCTTTTTTGTCTGGAGACAACCCCATGACAAAGACAACTGAAAAAAACGAAAACCTAGGGCTAGTACGAAAATGAAAAAAGGACTGCAAAAAGAATGAAAAAAAAAAGAACGGAAAAGAGAGGGCTTGCAGCCGGCGGTGGCGGCGGCGGCTGCTGAAAACTGAAAGGAGGATTGAATTAGAACAGCTGGGAAAGATGAAAAAAACAGAGAGTAGGAATGGGAAAATTTAGAGAGTAAATAAAAAGCTAGAGAGAGAATGAGAGAAAAATTGTGTCTCGTCCTTTTCTCTCATTATTATTATTATTATATTATCCCTCTACATCTTAATAAAGGGGAGTTTGGAGACCTCCTGAAGTGCAACGTGGATAGCCTCAAATCCTTTGGTGAAATATTGTTTTATTTTGAGATGAAATATATATATATATATATATATATATAGGGAATGGATCCAATGAGTACACATATTTAAAGTGTGTACG